CAAATTATGTGCGCATTCTGAAAGTGAATACACAAAGATCACGGACATTATAAAAATAAGCCTCCAACTGTCGGATAATTTTAGGCCATAATCACTCCATTAAACAGTTATGTAGTAAAAAGTACTGAGGTGGAAAGAACTTATTAATCCTCCGGACCTCTTTATTTGACTAGCACTTTCTTCACAGCTTACTAATAAGGATTCAAGGCAGAGTAGGTTCATTTTGACCACTGTTTTACAGACAAAATTTTCCAAAACTGGATGCGTCTAGTGAAGATTATTTACATGTGAAGTAATTGCTAAGTACATAAAAAATATGACGTTGCAAAATGTTAAAAACAAAAGTGTCTGATTTTAATTCATTCAAACAGAAAGCCGTTTACCAAAACTTTCGATACATTTATCATTCACACATTTCAAAAGAATTACTTCTTCTTTGTACATCTCTGTACATTGCTCTCATTTACAACAAAGACAATGCAAGTATTTAACTTAAAGAAAATAACACTTTATCACGTAATCCTGTGTGCCAGCAGATCCATTGGTGCCAAATGCGCAAGATGACAAGCGTGACATGACAAGTACTTCAAGCACCGTCAATGATGAGACAAAATACAACAAATGCCAACGATTAATCCCGTCCACCATACACAGTAGCCGGTCTTAAACTAAGCGCATACAAGCATTCGGTCCCTTAGTCATGATACCTAAGATAAAGTCCTTCCCATTGGTCGCGAGCGAGCCCGTTACGTGCCGGTATTAAACAGTTGGCTCACGTGCGATGCGCGTCTCCATTTTGATAAGGAGATCGCTTACTACAGCTCCAGGGAGGAACATAGGCCTACCATAACATGGGGGGTGGAGAAAGGATAGTAAATTTTGTAATAAAATCTTAAGAAATTTGTAAGTTTTACACTTGTTTTGATTTTTTAGTTCAAAAGGCATTATGAGTGGGAATAAATATGTGCTTCACCAGTCTTAGACCGTCTGGGGAGATAATGCCCGAGCCGAGTCACGTCAAATCGCCGGGTGCGGGAAGAATTCTGCGAAATCTGACAATATGTAACCCGTGCAAAATCAAATGGCGCCACCATTAGCCCACAAAATCAGAATTACACGGCACCTATAATTTCTCTTGTTAGTGACTGGTAAGCCTGGTGGTTAAAAATCCATTAAACCAAACCAACCCTACTAAATACATATCAAACCATACATCCTTATCCATGTATATACTTAACTTATATATTACAAATAAAACCAGAATTATTTTGAATCCAGTTTTGGGCACGAAATCATGAAAATCAAACACGTTCAGCCATCTTGAATTGGGTCCAGCCATTCACTGAATTGCAAAGAGGCCAAACCTTGGTTTCTGAACCTGAATATGATATACTTGTATATCCTGAAAGTTTACGACATATACAGTATTTGAAATGCAAGATAAAGCTTGTTAACAGTGCACAGCCTGAGTTCGACAGAAATGTTAATCTTACAATGACAATGAATTCTATGTCCTTAATTTTGACGCACATTTGGTGGGAAATTGATGACACAACAGCCAATATACAAGACGGAATAAACCGTATATGATAAAACCATAAAAAGCAAGAACGGAGAAGTACAGCACAATACACAAAAATCCAAAGAGAAAGACATCACAACAGGACATGCTCAGATTACCAGTCTTCTGGACGTTAACTCTGCCATTATCCAATCTCTTCTCCTCTTTCTTGCAATAGAGTTGGATGTTCACATCACATCCACGCATTGGATTGAAGTCCAGTGCGTCGCAGTATCTGCGTACAGTATCCGAGTAAGAGCCACTCGGCACAGATTGATAACCACGCTTTTCAAACACCACTTCGAGTCCAGCCGGGGTGGCGAAGCCATTACGAAACTCGCTGTCACCGTCGTGGTCGTTGTCAATGTAGAGAACGTGACAGCCGGGTTTGATGTACGAAGTATGGCACGCAGGGCACTCCCTTGGCTCTTGTCAGCCCGAAAGAAGGCAGCCACTGCCGAGAAGGACTTCACCAGCGTAATGAGATCAGCTTCGACGACAAACTGACGGATTTCATCTGTCAGTCCCGCGTCCGTGACAAGATTACATCTCTTGTAGCTGACACGGAGGCTGCCTTGGAAGGTGGTAGGCAATCGTGTCCCAAGCCTTTTTCCAGCTGGGGTAAAGGTCCAAAACGAGGCAATCTAACATCGGCGGAGAGGCGTAAGTCTGCCGAAGAAAAGTGTCCAAACCAACCAGGTCAGATCCAGGCCCACCTCCAACACAGCACACCTTCAGTTTCTTTCGATAAGCCCAGTCACCATAGCCTGCTCTAAGATCTGTGGACTGCAGTAGCGCGTAGCACACGAGGTTACAGTGCTGCACTAAGTACAGGAACACGTAAGCTGCGCGGTTGGCGGCCTTTTCCCAGTCAGAGCGGTAACGGGTGGAGGCCTGGGAGAGACCCATTCTGTACTTCTGGGAGATTTCTCTCAACGCCGTCTTGACTTCGTCCACCTTTGATGAGCCATCGACATTACGGAGGAGATCCGGAAGGACGTAAGACAACAAGGCGCGAAAGAAAACCGCCACTTCAGTTTGGATTTTGCTGTTTTCTGCCTCCATTTTTTTTCTGTGAAATAAGAAACAAAACGTGTGATCCAGTAGGATGCAACTACCGAAAAGGATAAACGCAATTACATTGACAAGCAACAGATTGATTGCGCCCAGTGACCCACGTGACCAGTGGTGGGTATCAAACATCAACAAAATGACGTCCTCCCGCATAGCAAAGTGTGTCACAAGTGTCACTTAAGAAAAATAAAGTCGACGGTCGGTAAGACTACTGGTGTGCTAAGTACTATACCGAAAATTATTTCTGGTAAAAAACACTTATATGTTAAAAACACTGTGTTATGGGAGGACGCCGAGTTTGTTGATGTTTGATACCCACTACAGGTCACGTCACGTGTCACGAAAGTTTATATACATGCGTACTTCAACTCAAAATCTTTCGAAAAGCAGAATACAGGAAACGTCGGAGTTCAGATGTTACATTAATCGGAGGTCTGCAGTATGCTCCATTCTCTTCCGGGAGGTTAAAAAACTGGTCTTTTAAGTGTTTCAGTGAGCTTTCCTCTGATGGTTTTGCTGAGAGGAACTTCAAACTGTGAGCAGTTATGGACGGGTGTAATTTTCTATGTTCATCCGAGAGCTTTCGTGACATGCAGACACAGCGAGGTGAAAAAGTTGACCTGTTGCAATTAATGTACAGCAATTTGTTAAGTTCACTGCGAACGGTCAAGAACTGAAGCCTCCAGATGTCACAGAGAGTTTACAACATCCACAGATGTCCCGAAGTTCTTACCCTCAACAGGATCGTTGGTGAATCCAATGAGGACCACCCCTCCAAAAAGGGGGGGGGGACTTCAGCTGAAATACTTAATGAGCAAAAGGCTAGATTTCATTTCTCTTAATTTCCAAAGCATATGAAAAAATCCCGAAATTTAGCCTCCCCCTAAGAAAGGCCATTACAGGTCACATGAAGAAATTCCTTAAGTTTGTATCGCCACCCCCCCCCCCCAAATAAACTTGCCCTTCTCCCCAAAACTTTGTTTCTAAATCCGTTCTTGAACACCATGCAGGATTATGGCGACTACCGAGTCGTTGGTACTCAGTATTTCAGAAGCAACAAAACAACGTTTCTGCTGCTCCACTCATGGCGAACGTGAACTGAGACATTCGGTGAAATGCGACCCTAAGCACATACGTGTAAATGTACTTCAATGGCGTGCCGCGTCAGTGACTCTCTATCAATACGTCATCAGAGCCCATTTACATTTTGCTCAAGAGCCAAATGACATTCCTGGGTTTAAGCAGTAGTTTCGCAATACTCAGATATTCCCTCCAGCGCTGGGGAACAATTTCGCAATCCTGTTTTCATGACGCTCACTCTGTACGAGCCAATCCAGTTCAAGGGTCAGATTTCTGTGGTGGGGAAACCCCTGACGACTAACAATACACGGAAAAGGGGTCTACAATCTCTAGCATGGAGGTAGCAAAAAACTGATTTCTTGAGGGGCAGTATCTTATGTTGAGGCGCAAGATACGAGGACTGAATATGTAAAAATAAACAGGCGAACATTTGGAAAGGCTACTAGGCACAGAACCTTGACGACCCGAGTTAACAAAACTTTCACTTGTCAGATTATAAGAATTCACATATGCATGTAGTGTGTATATCTTTACATGAACACTGAATTAATAAATACTGCCACACTTGGGTAATCCCATTCAACATACTCCATAGATTTGTTTCAACGGTTTCATCATTTCAACCGCTCGATTCTGAATCGAAACATCATGTGCCTTTTGGGAAAGGGTAATGCACCCCCCCATGGGCCAAAGTTGTAACTTGATACGATTTCACTGGAGCTTCGTGTATAACAAATCACTCCTCTCATCTGAATATGCAAAACGATTTGACGAAATACTGAACAGTACTACAAAGCTAACCAACTCGAAAATCCTTGACTTAGCTCGAAAAAAATGTTGTACCCCCCTATATGCAGACTATTGTATTTAATTTCATTTCATTTCTAAAGATGAGTTTGCTGATTCTTGATTTTTTTGAATGGTGGAAAAGTCTATCATTCTCTGATCAAAAAGTACTGCCACGGAGTTGTTGCAGGGGCGTAGCCACGGGGGGCCTGAGAAGCACATGCCTCCCACAAATTCTGGGTGCCCCCCTCCCCTAAAAACGGATGAATGGATATTAAACAATGCCAACAAAAACCTGCCACCAAAACCAAATGACTGAAAGCTGGTGTCCTACCCCCCTAGCATAGCTACACCACTGAGCGGAGACCCTTAGAAAGTAACCAGTAACCAAATCTCTGACAAGTCAGCATGTCAGACAAAAAGAATAGGTGGTAATGAAGCATTTTAGAATGCTAAAATCATACAGTGATTTATTGTTCAGTGGTGGTACAATACTCACATGCAAGAGATATCGCGGAGCTCCACACTCACGTCACTGGACGTCCGATGTTTGAAAGACGTCTGAGGCCTCGAGGGGTGACTGAAAGGTAGACGTTTACAAGCTTACGTGACGTGTATTAACAGGCCGTGAAAGTCATGGTCCAATCACAGGACAAAACGCGGTTTCCATTTTGTATGACGTCAGGAAATCTCCCCCGGTTGGTATATACAGATATTGACATTGCCATTTCGCTTGGCTGAGCAGCCAATGAGATTAATTTGCCCAGCTTTCATGGGACGTGTTTGATGTTCTGGGTCTTTCTAGACGTTTCTTACATGAGCGCTATTGATAAAAGTGGAATTCCCACAGCACGGTGAGAAATGATTGCTTCATGCGACCGCCAAATACGGTGGCTCACATTCGCCACTTCTCAATTCGAGTTTCATCTTTACACGTTCCACGCGTTATATCTCTATACTTGGGACTTAAAATAATGCACACGTAGATTGGCGAATTAAGGAAGCCACTGAAACTTGCATATAATTCAGGAATGCAATGGCGTATCCATCTTTCGGTGTGGGGTGGGGAAATTCAAAAGCAAATTCACTTTTGGGCTCATTCAACATAGTAATGGGGAGAAAAATATTTATTTGATAAATAAATACACCGATTAGCTTCTTTCCTACTCCCGTATGAAGTAATCTCATTTTTAAAAGGTAACAAAAAAATAATGCACCACCCCAAATACACCACTGCGGGAATGCCTTGATGTCATTGGCCTGCCATAGCAGCATGCGACTCCTAATTACCTTAAAAGTACACTTAGGCCTATTTCCACTGATTTTTAACTCCTACCTCGGATTTCATAAGGGATCCTAGACTCCTAGTCCAGTTAAATTCTTTTAACTTCTAAAGAGCCTTACCAGTGGAAACAAGTCAAGTAAGGTAATTTGCTGCAGGATAGAACTCATAAGTCAATGCAGTTTTAGTGAAGTTTTCTTCTCATCAGAAATGTTTTACTTTAAAGCTCTGAACTGAAAAAACCCTGAACTGGTTAAAAAAAAGCGAATTACATAATTATTTTAGGAGGGTGGAGGGAGTCTCAGGTCACAAAAGAATTTAATTAGCGACTGACTGGGAGACCCCCCTGAGAATCGACCAGAAATAAAACAAGACAACGGACAGTGCTTTCGTCTTGCAAAGTTTGGGCGTAAGGAAGATCATAATCTACATCACTGAATACGTCTCAGGGGATAATCCAAAATGGCGTCAATAATAAGATTGTTCTGGTAAGTCGTGCGTGACTCAAGAATCACCTTACTGATGTGAAATGAGAGAACAGAGAAATGTTTACCATTATTCTCGAACCATCTCAAATCCTTTTTTTTTTTTAATGATCAACCCACTTAATAAGTTTATTTGTAATACTACAGTGATCTCTCAAAATGACTGCAGTGCGGAAGGTCTGTTCTCAACCTTCCCTGAGGAAATTATCGGTCGGATCCACCAACTCCCGAAAGGCAAAAAGTGGAAAATTCAGTCTTGAAAAAGCAGTTTTCACTTTATTGGAGTGATTGTGTAAGGGACTTACTCTTTTTGAGAATGAGTTTTCTCTCTTTTGCACTCAGAGAGAAATTATAAAAAACGTTAGGTAAGGCTTGAAACGTTTCAATTTAAAAGAAAATGCCGATCTAAAAGCGCCTTAGAGTACAAAAAATAGATTTGTGTCGATATTGACGCCTGTCCAATTTTTGTGATAAATGTTGTGAGACCAACTTATGCCTATCGGGAATACATGCACAAAATCTCCGTGCTTTTACACGGATAGCCCTATGGCTTACTGAAACCGTCAGGCTTAGGCAAGGGCTCATATTGAATTAAAATGGCTTCCTCAGATCGTAATAAAAGCTTTGAAAAACTAATCGATTCTCCTACACGACTCATGTTGGTTGCCACCACGACATTACCAGCGCCTGGAATTTGTTCCTCGCGAGATTCGAAATTCTCGGAAACCTCGTATTCTGCCACATTGACGGCAGCGAACACCGCCTTAGCTGTGGCTTGGCCGCCCGATGGTGACTCCCTTGTGAAGGCTAAGACTTCCTTGAAGGTTGCCTGGAGGCGAAACGACTCCTGGTAACCGATTCCGAATAGATCGGTGTTGTCTCTTCGGTACTGGATGGTTCGCTCGATGAAGGCAAGGGTAGAATTTTTGTGTAGTTTTTGTAGCTGTTCAAGGAAATCAGCAATAACACAAAACGGTGAATACGTGGAAAATAGCAAAAAGAAAATTTACCGAAGCCTGTCATGTGACATGTTAAGCAAAATAAAATTATGGGAACTTAAAACTAGGACTCTTATGCTCTGTACAATTATTTATGCCATTTGATTAGATGAGGGATTCCATCGAACACGTTTAATCCACAGAATTTCACTGCATGTTTCAGTGCAGTGCGATTCCATCCTTTCTCTGAGATAAAGCATACCCGCACTGAAGTATCCCATTCACATCAAGAGTGTCACATCCTTTAAAGAAGAGTGGCGTAAATCTGTGCCAGGAACTAGGGGATGGGGAATGAAGGGAGGGGGGTGATTTGCCAGCTACGGGAATTTCAAAAGGGGAAGGGGGGTAGAGTGCTGATGTCATGTGACACGAAGGGGCCATTTTCGTGATACTGATGTATCACACTCCGGCATGGCCTTTACGCGAAACCGACGCATTTATGGTTTGATTTCAATTAATCTCCCTTTTTGAGTGCTATTACATACGTTATGGTTTTGCAAAGTCCAAAAATTCTTCACAATTCGCCTTAACTTTTTCGCACCACGAAAAAATGGGGGCGGGAAGAATTCAATTCCCCGGTCAAAGGGGATGATAGACCTCCATCCCCCGGGATTTGCACCAACAGTTAGAAAATCTGCCTCTGAATACGCTCACCTCGACGTTGGTTTTAGTGGCGTTTACGCCAACAGGGACCCAGGGTTCGGACAACGATGCATTGGTGAAACCAGCATAGATGTCAGGGGACCACTGCATAGGAGAACGAGTTAGCTCCCTGTCTGATCTCATCTATGGCACGAAACCAATCAATAAACAGAAGAAAAAGGGCAACAGTGTTTTTATTGATACATTTACTGTGGAACAGAACAGTGGATTTTTCTGTCTCTGGTATTTGTTTCTCAGTGTAATTTTCCCTCTTAAAACAAAATTGTTCAATGGAACTCAGTCCAGATAATTCAACCTTTATTTGAAGAAATGAATCACTTATGATTTAGGAACTATTTGCTCAATGGCCAATTCAGGTCAGTGGGCCGGAGTGAGAACGCAAAATGTTGTTCGTTGTTTTTTAAAACAAAGTCTCCATGTTTAATTTAATCTATAAAAGAATCCTCCCCGAAAAATGAAGGTGGTAAAAATGTTTCTTAAAAGTTAAATACTAACACTTTCAACTTAAAATTAAAAAAAAAACCAAAATGACACCAAGTCCCAAGTGGGAGTTTTGCTGCCTCCCCTCCCAGATGACTACACTACATTCACGGGACTCCCTTAACTATTGTCTCACTTTGCATCCAACCTCTCTTTTCCAACACGAATCTTTCGTCTCTGCCATACTGCTTGTTCCTCTTACTTCTGCAACTCGATTGCAAGTCTTACCGCTTCAGCAGCATTATCATTCGCGATGGAGTCGTTCACTTTCTGCCCGTCTGTCATCCCAATCTCGTCGCCGTAATACAACAGCGGAGAGCCGGGCAGCATCAGCATTAGGAACAGCATGACACGGGAGATGCGTTCGCCGTAGCGGGACGCGGCCCGGCTCACGTCTGCCGAGCCCACCTAGGGGAATGGAGCAGAAAAAACAGAACTTTGGTTGACATCTGTGACCCAAGGCCAGTGTTCAGTACAGGGCACACCTCCGCCTACCCACCACCAACACCAATTCCACTTTGCTGATCAAAGGTTGGAACCTTGCGTTATAACGCAAAGCTGCATTATACGCACAAAACTACGGCGAGTTTCAAGTTTATTTTAAAAAGTCAAAAATTTAGAGAGAAAGACGCTTAAAATGGTTTAAGTTCTCTTTCTCTGTGTGGTTGGCTGTTGGTGTGAGTGTTTTTAATTGAAATGAGCGGTATTTGTCAACTTACCGCCCAGTGTCTTGAACTGTGCATGGGTCCAGAATCGATCCAACTTTCGATTACCGTACGTAACTGATGTCCATTCAGGGGCGAGGTCATGTCCAGGAACATGAAGTTGAATGGCAGGTTAGCCTTGCCCAGCTCCTGGGATATGTTAAAAGAGACCATGGCCGCTAGGGCAGGATCAGTGCCGGTGTCGACAACGAGAAGTCTATGAAAAAAAATTAAATCCGTGTATTTGTCGGCTAATATTCAAACCAACTTCGGCAAACAGGAAAATGTAACCCATGGGAACAGAATGAGTGACTGTTTTGTTTTTTCAATAAACCTCTCTTCACTTTTGCCTACCGAAAGTTGGCCATTATGGCCGCAATCAGGACTCAAGCTAAAACAGTAATTCCCAGAATGTTAAAACTTTCATGCAACTTTGAAAACACAAATTAACTAATACCAGTGCTCGGCCTGCTTTCTAAAGGAAAATACCTGTCTAACACCATTAGAGCAAATACATGTACGTACCTAGCTAGGGACAAAAGCTACTGCCAACCGAAGGTGAACTTTCTGCAAGCTTTGGACGCAAGTACAATATTCTAGCAATGTTTGTAAAAAAAAAAATCAAGGTCTACATGCCAAATTCGGGCTTCCATTATCGGCTGAATAATAAGCTAAACACTGACATTGCACTGGCCAAAATTATTAATAAGGAGGTTATTACTTCGAATTCGACGATTCATACTCATCGAGAAGTTGGCGCCAGCCAATGATCACATTCAGGATCTCCTCTCTTGCTTGCTGAAAAGATAACATACCAGAGAGAACAAAATCCCCAGATGACCAATCACGACGGGTTTTGAGAAGGGCTGGGGAAGTCTGAAACCCCGTTTGTATGCAGCTGCAGAGAATATTTATGCTCCAAAACAGGTTGTCTGGGACCAAACAATCGCCAAAAGGTCGTAGGTTTTACATGAAGCATAAAACACCTAATAACTTGAAATGGATTTCATTGACCGTTTTTCCTAGTATTGTAGAGTCTAGCGAGATTGTAAATCGTAATGATTTCGCGCGTAGTGCAGATCATAATACAACAAAGGGAGTACGATCATCTGACGGTTTACTCAGAAGCTACTCATGACTGTAGCATCAAGCGTTTTCAACTTCACCCAAAACTTGACAAAAGTCCCCCTTGCCTTAAATACTATGGACATGATTTCGAGCCTCCATGCAGGAAAATAAATTGGCAACTGGAGGGCAAGGGGAAAATGATAAATTGTATGTAAACTGTTATCCTTGGTTACGTACCGATGTGCCATTGTCATTACGCGTAGCACCATCTCCGAGCTGCACAGTATTTCCCGGGGTATCGGCCAGCATCCAAGGTTCAATCAGGCGATCTGCATGGCGCATGAAGAACCCGTCCACACCCTTCTCCAGCCAAAACTTCAAGGCGTCCTGAACAACGAATGTTTTGATTTAAGTGTCGTAATTATAGCTTTGGTTGCCTTTTTATAAGTATAGCAGAGCCGTGAAAGTAAGTTTGAAAGCATTCAACTTTTATCGCTAAAGTTAAATGATTTACATAACATCATTCCTGATCGAAATGAGTACCCTGTCCCATTTCCTCTTCAGGACAAACTTGACAATACATTGCTTTAGAACAAAACAAAATGTCGGATTTACCTAACCTTAAAGGTTCATACGATAGCAAACCATTTTTCCCCGTTTCTTTTTTAAGCTCAAAGTCACCGGCAAAAAAGGCTTCTGATGAGGATAGTCCTCCCCGCTTTCAACGGGTCTCCTCGATTTGATTTTTACCTTAATGGCGCTGACCACTGCAGGATTTCTGTAATTCAGATCAGGCTCCTCCGTCGTGGAGGAGAGGTACCACTGGCGTCGGGTCGGGTCGTACTCCCAGGACCACGGAGTTTCCCAATCACTGCCCATCTGAAAAAGATACCCCCCCAAAAAAAATCAGAGAGTTTGTTATTTTGTCTAGGTCCCATTTTGTACTGAAGGATGAAGGCTTTAAGCATTCGAACCAAGTGAGATAGCCCATGCACTTCTGCTCAATATGGCATGTTTAAGTCCACATAAACTGTGCTTTCCGACGCCGTAAAGAGAGCAAGATAAGTTTTTTAGAACAGGTACCAGCACGTGGATTTTCAAGAACAAGAACTTCCAGTCAGAACCTGGATATGGGCGCCAACAACGTCGTCCTTGAACGTTTTGAAAGCAAGTGCCAACCTCCCAAATTTAGTGGTCTGTAAAACTTCGCCCTCATTTAACTAATCAGTAAAAACAAACCGACAAACTGAAACTGACATCGGCAAGAGACCATGAAATTAACCAGTAAACTGCCTTACCGTGTACTGTGGAGGCCGACCGTTGGTGCCGTCGGCCCAAATGTAGTACTCGCTATAATCATTGTTTTGACCCTGTCGACTGTCCTGGAACCAAGGGTGCTGATCACTGGTATGATTAGGGATAAACTCTAAAATCAGCTTCATGCCTGTTGGAAAAAAAGATGAAATCACCAAATTCATGCGATTTATAGCCTAGTTAGGCCTGCAATATCTTACAGCATCGCATGTGACATGGATTTACATTTGAATGGCTCCTATAATACAGAGTGATGTTTCTCCAGACTAAATTACTGCTCTAGCCATTTTAACGGTTGAAATTCCGTTTTGTTAATTAACCACATATACGTTCTACACTGCATTTGGAATGCTAATATTAATCGTAGTGTCCTGTCTTCTACTGAAATTGATGTCTAATTCCAGTCTCTCAAAGGAGTGCAAGATACTCCTTTGGTTTGCGTGCGTTTTTGTAGTTTCTCACAGTCGATATTGTCAATTGTAACATGTACATGTAAAGGGTTAACGAGTGACTTCCCACATCAAGGCATTTTTACCTTGATGAGAATTGACTTGGCCAAATGCGATCTGTTAACTGTAAATAATGGAGCTTAATAAAATAACCACCACGTTACACGCAATGTCCCTTTGCATGCAGGAGTTTTCATACATGACGTAATTCCAATGGAATTTCATACTTCGGTTATGCACGGCTGTCACAAATTCTTCGAAATCTTGCATTGTGCCGAAGACTCCATCGACTGCAGTGAGGTCGGTGACGTCCAACCATAGATCCTTATGAGCTGACTGAAACACCGGACCTAACCAGATGGCATCTACACCCAAATAATCCAGATAGTCCAACCGAGAAATAATTCCTGCAAATTAAGATTAAAAGGAAATGAGCATTTGTTTTTTTCGTGAGGCTAGGGCCAGTCTGAATGTATTAGTAAACATAATTTTGGTCTACGGTCAAATTCAACGTGATACAAGATAACCAACCCCCCAAAAACGCAACCCAAAAGTAAAATTTATTTTTTCCCAAACATTCATCTTCTCCCAAGACAATTATTTCCGAAATGGTTGCTTTTGATACCAAATTAAGGCTTCGGATCATTTTTCAAGACTGCAGACTTCATTTAAATCGATTGATGCGTTGCGGGGGTATAATTACGCAGGCTTACTCATTTTTGTTCTGTCCAATGGAAGTTTGTACAGTTAATGTTGTAGTGCATACAGTCACTGATATTGAAATCCTAAATTATCACACAACTGATGGGGTTCCCTCTGTTATATTTCTTTCTTGTTCTGTACTTCATGAAACTGTGGCTTATTTCAGAAGGCAACAACGCTTAATTGCGCGCTTCCAAAGTTAATAATCCCTATACACATTCTAGACTGTTGTTACCTTACTCGTCCCTCTAAATATCTCAAAAGAATTCCTGAGATTCCGATCAAACAATGACCCACCTGAGGGAATTCTCTCCATCCCATATCTTGCTTCAAATGTACAGTTTAACTAGTTTGTGTCAGAGAAACCAACTTCATCCCAACCTGTGCAGTTTTCCTCAATTTTGCAACTAGGCCAAGGTGCTTATCTTCGTTTCCATTGTAACATTAACCACTTTACCCATTTTAGGATCCCACTTGTTTGCCGGTGAAAAATAAAATGGATTTTAACATTCAATATCCTCGTATTCCTGGCTTTTCCAATGATCCCACGTTAGGTGTTAACCTTAACACTCCTCAGTTCTCCAACAGGTGAAGGATTGAGGAGGGTTAGGGTTAAAGGGTATTAACCCATTGTATTCGAAGTCATATTGAAATCTAAGAATGGAGGACTGCTAGGATAAATAGTTACTTGTGCAAGCATATATCATATTGATTGCTGTAGTAGATCCTATTAGTACAAAAAGCACCCGTCTTACGTAATAATATGAAGTCTTCAGTTTTAATAAGATAACATCTTAAACTTCAATTCGCTACCAAAAGCAAAAATTACTGATACGAATTTTGTTAGAAAAGAAATGTTACTTTAGGGGTGCGTTTTGTGGGTGTCTGTGTGGGGGGGGAGGAGTCACCCTGTATAACCATTAACACCCATTAGAGAAACAGTATGACTTTGGTTATGTCTTCAGTCTGACTTCTGAAGCAACAGATAATTCATATTGTGAGGACATGAGTCAACGGCACACCGGTAAATTAGACTGGAGCTTCATTCTGTCGCATTCCTTATCTTACAATGAACTACTGAAAGCAGGTACGATTGTTGTCTCAAGAATACTGACCCAACTTAAATCCAGACTCTGAAAATGTGTAGAAACCCGGCATAATGCATGTACATCAACGATTTCTTCTGAAGGCCTAGTATCACTGGTCAATGAGTAAACAGCGAAGTGTACAGGTAATTCCTTTCGAGCCAAAACAAACTAGGAGATTCTGAAAACAGTGTTTCAAAACATGTTTCTTTGCACCATAATTTTGTTTTAGAAACATAAAAATTGCAAGGCCGACCATTGAAAGTCAGGGCTGTGATGGAGAGTGTATGTCAGACTTGGATATGAACATTTCCCCATACAAAAATGAGCGACATAAGAGATTTATTCCGAAAGTATAATAACCTTTCAAATCGCCATAACCATCTCCGTCGCTGTCCTGAAACGAAGCAGGGACGATCTGATAACCAACCGCAACATCAAACCAATGTTCTTTGGCCATGCACCGGCTACCCTGGCCGGCATCTCCCCAAGCAATCATCGCGACAGCCGCTAAGAGCACCGCCAACCAGCTCACCGTGATCACTCCCAAGGAGGTCAGACGGAAAACCCGCCAGAAGATGTGGTTGGACCGCACTTGCACGGCGTTCTCGTCCATCCCTACCCATGACGACCGGTAGATGGTACCGTCTCCAGCGTCACCCGTAGGGCTGCTCAAGATCCGAGGGATCCGCTGGCGAGGTTTCGGGCTGGCGGTGGATGACGGTGTTCCGCACTGGTCTCCCTCCGAATAGTACGAAGGGTTGGTTGTTCCTTCCATAGTTGCTACTGCTGTGGATATTTACATTCCACCTGCGCATCTGCGGTGTGACGAGCTGTGTGCTCCCCAGCCGCAGACAAATGAACTCATGACAAAAGAACTCAGTTTAACAAAGATCACGCGACAAAGGATAGGAGTTTCTGACTGAATATCAAAAGGCGAAGTGGATGTTTTGCATTGCTTCAATACTAACGGGACAAAGACTGTAAGGGTCTGGCCTGGTTTACGCAGAACTCATGAACCGTGCAACAAAATACAAATCACGAAGTAGTGGGCACGACGCGTGGAATACGGACACTTCGCGATCGCACGCTTAGAATTCGAAATTGCACTGACAAACTTGCAGCTGCTTGAATAGATGCATAGTCGTGTCTGGAGGAAGCAGCAAAGGCGGTTACTTCCCCACTCGTGATGGTTAAAGGCCTTGGTACAAAATGTTGCCTTCTATCTGTTCAAATATGAAGATTCTAACGAGTGAGGTATGTGTGCAACACAAATATAGAAAGAACTTTGAATTCGCAGAATTATTCATATCTTAAGACATCTGCATATCTGCAACTGTATACAAAATCCAACTTTTGCAATTCTGGTAAAGTTTGCTTTTGGAATGTCCACGAAAAATCGATGTTTACAACCCTTTTCCTAGCACACAAGGCCACAAACTGTCTTGTATGTGACGAGATTCATAAAACAAAGTACAATGTAATTCCTTCAATTTCGTTCCAATATCGGTTTGTAGAGTTTTAGTGTTTAAGTATTTCCATGAAATATTTTTTGCATGATACAAATTTGAAATTGTTCGAATCCAAATGCGTTCAGTACAGTTCTGTGTGGATCGCACTCCTTCAAGGTAAAGAGGTTATTACTGAAATAATACTGTGTAATTCTCTAGATAAAATGTTCTCTGAAAGTCAAATATTTAAGATCTGTTTACTACCTCTAATTCTGTCATTGCAGGGCGTCTCGCCGCGAGACACAGACTGCAAACAAGTCCGGTTTGCACCACCGCACCGCGGAACGCCATTGTCAGACTGGCTCCATGACTGAACACGTACGCAGCCTTATCGCTGTTTTCGACTTCAAGTTCCTACTGTACCTGTTTGCCATGATTAAGCAAACCGTAACCTCCATAAAAAAAACCCAATAAAATTTGTTATATATAACGGGTTTGCCCTTACCCAACGTATAGCAAT